GATAGCACGTCATATGTGTACAACAACATGTGTTCGGTATGTTCTTTTAATTTGAACAAACAAACTGATGCACACCTCCCCTAACTCAATCTGTGTTATGCATGTACTGACGTGGTATCGGCTTGGGGATGATGTTTGAAATTGTGACAGGATGTGATGAGGAACCGGAGTGCTCTTTCGTGGACAAAGTATTTGAACATAAATTTCAAAGTCCCAAAAGGTCACGGATACATACATTACCCAGTATACCATTCTAACCATTGGACTATCATGGTGCACAACTCAGAGATCGGTACTTGGAAACACTATAACTCTATGAGACCGAGATGAGGGATGCGGGATGACCATTATAACGAAGCGCTGAATGTGGTAAGAATGTGACGTAAATTAACGTGTAAACGCATAATAATAGTTTATTATTCATATCACATCAGCGGGAGAGGTGAATTGTATTTCCTGTGTGCGTATGGTTGTAGACACTCCATTTTTGATAGCCCTTAGAACTTGGACACCATTGCATGCACACTCGATGATGAGATTACATGCTCGCCAAGTGCTCGAAGCCCTCAGCGGAATGCCACAACTTTGAGCCTTTCAAACCCTGCATCCTTGTTGCCTCATTTTTGGACCATGCCTTGGTCTTTCCAGCCTGCAACCTTTGGTGGCCTGCCGGCTATCCCTAGAGGCTGTCGGCCATCATTTTTGGGCTGCCACCCACTGATGTGGCTTCTTGGCCACCACTGATGGCCGGCCGACCATCAGTGTATTTTGCAGATATTTTATGTCAGATGTGCCAACTATTTGCACAGATGCATGCATCTTCACCCACGTGTAGGGCTGGATTTCCTTGAGGGAATTTCATTTTTTCTATATATAGGGACCCCCTCTCTCTTGTAACAAGGTTAGAAAATTTTGAACTCAAAAATTTTCCTCTCTCTACAAATTCTCTACACTTTTGCCTACAATTCCTTAACCTTTGCCTACACACCCTTATCCAAATTTCACCATCTTTGAGCTGAGGTATTTTTAAGCTTGGTTTAAGCTCTAGAGGGTGTTGTTTGCTTGGTTTTGTTGCTTGGAGTTGCTCTTCTCTTCAAAAGTATAAGACTTTGCTTGTAGCTTTGTTTTATTTGCTTCTATTCCTACTATTTTTCCATTGTTTTGGGCTATCAAAACTTTGTGTTTTTTGGGCTGAAGCTTGGGTTTAAGGCCATCAAAGGTTGAGGGGTTGATAGCCCTTCTTTGTACCTTATTTTCGAGGCCTTTACCCTTGAATTTTCCACATTTTTACTATCTTTTTCCAAGATTTTAAACACTGATTTTCAGAGCTATTTCAGTGGCCAAAATCATGTTTTGAAGTCCAAATTTGGAGGGCTTAGCCTCCCCTCCTTGTGTCTTGCTTACTAGCCTAGGTTATGCCATGTTTTAGCATTTTAATCTAGCTTGTTTTAGCTCAATTCCAGCATGTTTTAGGACATATTTTAGCCTGCTTTAGCTCTATTTTGGGTTGATTAAGTCATTTGAGTCTTGTGTTGCATGCTTCTAGTGTAAGTGTCCACACAAGCTTGGTGTTTTAGGCTTTTAGACACCACTTGTTTGAGTTGATTGCATTGTTTTACTGTTTTTCTTACTTAATTTCAGCAAGCATAATCTCTACAACCTCCCTCATTTCTTAACTTTTTGTTTGCTTTAAGGGTTGTTTTAACCTTAGGATTGTTTAAGCTTGAGATTGAGGTCTATGCTTAATGGTTTAATCCCTTTGGGGGTTCATTATCAACGGCATGACATCTCTCTCTTACCTTAAACTACCCCTTGTTTGACACTTCCTTCTCTTTTAGAGGACTCAACTCACCAATGGACTTGATTGGTTAAAGAATGGAAAGGTAATTAAAAGGAGTAACTAAAACTTGGGACTAAAAGTGAGCAAGATAATATTTGGTTGTGTTCAATCGGACGTTAATTGAACACATGGAAGCTTGAACCATTTTATACTTACTTGTGATGAAATGATTCAAGTTTCCAAGGTCGACTTTTTCCCTTGATCTTTCATGAAAGGGAGGAGGTTTGTGCCTTGTTTTGCATTTATTAACCTTCCACACTTGGTTTCACAAGCCATCATGCAATGAAATTGCATCCATTGATGGTTTGTGAACCAAAGCTTGCTACTCTTTTAATTTTTCCATGAAAATGAGGGGTAGGTTGTGCAATCAAACCCTTGAAATACCCTGTATATGCTATGTTTGTCCTATGTTACAGCAAGATGAACCTGTGCATCAGTGGCTGGCAGGCCACTTTTCATGGCCGGTAGACCACCATCCATGGCCGGCAACCTTCAACCATGGCCGGCTGGTGGCCGGCAACCTTTACCAATGACCGGCCAACCACTAATGCAAAAATTCAGTAGAGTGCTGGTAAGGCAGAGCAGAGTGAGCAGCAGTGTTGGTGTTCAACTATGCAAATAGAGGTATTCGGAAGCAAAACGGTGGTCTTTTCGGGTGGAAATCGAGCATGCGCATGCACATCCTCGTTTCCCGAGGCGTAGTAGTTAGTTGTTCAGTTTACTCATTAATTGCACATGCGTTGTAATTATTTAATTATTTAATTAGTTAGTTAACTAGTTAATTAATTCAAGTGTTGTAATAATTTGTGAAGTAGTTTAGTTATTTATTAGGTTTGTAATAATTAGTTTAATTAGCTTAGCTTAGTTAGTTAGTTAGTTAGCTTAATTCATTCGAACTCTCCTTCGTGAGAGCGCATGTTATAATAATGTGTATGTCTTCTAACCCCACCTTTTTCTCCTTTTTATTTACTAGCTTATGATGGTTAGTTTAAGAACATCATGTTTCAATTAGCATATCGCAAGTTCGCATCCACTCGTATTGTATGCATCGAAGCTCGATTCATCATTCTATCTGTATTATCATTTCAATACTTCTTTGAATACGTGCTTAGACTGCATGTTATCAAATCGATTCATATGCCATGTTAAGTAGCTGAGCCTATTTAGTTGCATTATTGCATGCGTTGCATTAGCCATCTTGTATAGTTAGGAATACTAGGTGGGTTTTTAGTGCTTTAACATACTTGCATGAGTGTGATTGTTTCCATGTTCAGCATACTTGCCATGAGGCTAAGTGCTTACTTGTTAAACTGTTTGAGTGCCTGTGGATGAAAGGTTCTTGCTTGAATTAGAATGATTCAACGAATGTACGTTGTCAAGTGGCAAACTCACAAACTTTAAGCCCACTTTGTTAAGTGGCAAAATCAAACCCTTTTCGGAAAACAAACATGAAATTGAATTGTTCCAATTCGGGCAAACTAGTCTATACCTTGTGTGCACACATTACATAGTAATTCTAGCTTGATAAACCGAAACAAGAGCATATAACGTAGATAAAAATCATACCATGATTAGTAGAGGCCAATCTTTGATCGGGCATGCGGGGGTGCTCAAATGTATTCATGACCTTCTCCCCTCATACCTAAGTTCCTGAGCTGAGACAATCTTGGTGACGATGGACACGTGGCCTTTGGCACAAGTCATGGGTTTCCTAAATTTTCTCAAAAATAAAATATTTAGGTAGCAACTCTGTATCTGGCAAAGCAGTCTATTTTTGGCAATTTGATTCAAAATTGATTTTTCAAAAGATTTACCGGATTTGGACTCTTTGATGTTGTAGACACCCCATTTTTGACCGACCTTAAGACTCAGACGTCACTGATTGAGCGCTTGGTGATGTTGCATAATGTGCTCGTTCAGAAGTTTCAGAGTTGCGGCCGTGAGCCCTGCCTCCGGACTTCCGAACCCTCTTTTGTACTTTGCCTCGGTTTGCGAACCAGGCTCGATTTTCTC